TATTTTTAAATGGGAAAAGCATTGATTCGCACGCGCGCGTGTGTGTGAGAGAGAGAGATGCAATCTCCACTTGAGTATGCATGGAAGTTGTAAAAGGATCAGTTTTTAATTTACAGTGTATTGCCTTATTAAGAAGGCCTGCGTAAATCTAGAATTTGGGATATTTGGGGGTGTTTAATGTAAGCGTCTTTTTGCAATGAAATATTTGGATTGTCTACAAAATATCCATTCAATTGCAAATTGTTCTAACCAAGAAAATCCAATCACATAAGCAGGTAAGACCCATGTATTGATACAGGTAGACAAAATTAAGGGAGATCAAGCAACATAGAGTCTAGAGTTTGGAGCCTTGCTGGGAATGACATTTTCCACCCAAAAGCCTCTTTCCCCACAGACTCAATATCACATTCCATAGCAAATGTTCAAACAAGCTCTATTCTTTAGTTCCACCAGCCACCCTCATTCCCTCCGTATTCCATTTGTAAGGAAGAAGTAACCCCCCCCCAAGAAGCGCTGCTTTGTGAACCAGACTCCTATGTGGATGCTTTCAAGTTCACCACCAAGCATTTTCTATATGTACACTACCTGATACCTTTGCTGAACCCCACAACTCAGTCCCCCACCCCAGATTAAACCTGAAAATAGACAGTATCTATTGCACATTTTATATTTAGCAATGATTTGCACCAAAATAAAGTAAAATTATTACTTTCAAGCAAAAGATTCAAGAGTGTGTATGCTGAGACAAAGTGGAAAAGCTATGAACAACACGTTTCGCCAACATTTGTATCTGTATTTTTCAGGTCAGAACTGTATGTAAGGAAACGGTTTTGGTATTTTTCAGGATAATAGGAGCCATAAATAAAATTACCTTATCAGATCCTATGACCTGAAACTAGAAAGTGCTTATTTGAGATTATATATATATATATATATATATATATATATATATATATATATGTGTGTGTGTGTGTGTGTGTGCACTTACAGATGTGTACACACAAAAAAATTAGATGAATAAAAGTACTTAAAATTATTTTTTACATTAATTTAAAAATAATGAAAATGAAAAAAAAAAATCAGCAGACAATTGCTGATACCTACTGATGAGTGGACCAAATGATTACAAAAAGTTTGCCTGTTGAATTTTAAAACCAGCCCACTTAATCCAGAAAATGTTTTTGTGAACTTTAAAGACACTTCTCAGATTTCCCTAACATTGTGTAAAAGAAAGTATTGAAAACCTGATAATTGTAATCTTCACCATTCTCCTGACATCAAGCTCCATAATTTAGATAGACTTCTGATTGTTTTTCTGAATTTGTCTCTAACAAATACATCAAAAGGTCACAAGTGGCTTCTTCATATTTTCATAAACAATTATGCTGTAATTGTGCCAATAAAAAGATAATGAAATTTATATATAAAAACTTGCTGTTTATGTAGTGCATGTCTGTTGGGATTTATTAATACATCGGTACCTCATTTTTATATTTCCTGGAAACAAAACTTTACTATAATGAAGCTAAATATTGCAGTAATTTTACAGCCAAAGGAGAGAGGGGGAAAAAACAGAATCACATATCCATTGATAGTTTGTCCTTGGAATTTCCTTCTAAATTTGAACTGCCTTATGAGGATATAGTTTGAAACAGTCTCCAGAAATAGTCTTGTACAAATGGCACAGGAAGTGATTCATTAGAATTTATTGTATAGTGATGGGGAAATTTTCACCTATGAAGACTTTAGGGATTTAATAGAAATGAAAATGTAGAATTCAGATTAAAAAAAAAAAAAAAAAAAAAAAAATAGATAAACTCTTCCAGAAATGTTTTTTAAAATGGAAATCTGAACTAAAAGCCTCAATGAAATATCTTGTATGTTAAGAAGAAAATGGCCCAAATTTTAAATAAAGCATGGAAGTTAAAGACCAATAAATGGTAGCATTGAATTGTTTTAAGGGAAAATTTAAGATTTCTAAGAAAGATTTCAAAGCAATTAACCAGTGATGCCTTTTTTCTGAAAAGAAATCTAGCAGAATCAGTAATACGAAAATTTACTTTATTTTACTTGTTGCAGAAACTAAAAGTATTTTTTATGAATTACATAATTTCCTTTAAAATTATTTTTCTATAGACCTAAGCCTATCGTACTAAAACGCGTATATTGCTTTCAGTCAGTCATTAAAAGAAATTACCATAAAATCATATTTTTACTTTCATCTGATAAAGTTTTTCATAGCAAAATGAAAACATGAATTTCATTAATCAAGGTATTGGACTACATCAAAACTTTCATGACAATTACATAAATTCTGGCTGTAATAGAGGAAAAGCAAATCAAACAATCTTGGTTGCATTTCAACCTAGTACATAAAGGAAGAAGGGTTCTATTGAGTGTCAAATTTTCTAAGTCTTCTTTCCTTATGTGTCCTAGAAATTTCAACTCTTTTTGATGTTAAGTATCAGTCAGTTATATGCCATATGTGATACATGCTTAGGCAATCATGTATCTTTTCGATAAATGACTGAAAAGGCAGATTTTTTTTCCCCCCACAGTAGGTTGCCATTTCTTTTTGTGGTAGACCAGTTAGCATTCAAGGCTAAAGAACCTGGTCTGTCCTGCTATTTACCCATAGCTTGGTGGGTGGGAGATTCATACCTTTCCTAAGGGTATTAGCACGTATGTGAGTGTAATGGATTTGACTGGAATTCGAACTCGGCACAGATTCATCAATCCAAGCTGCTATCCATTACTCCACCATGCCTCCTCTGACATTAAGTATAAGTGCTCTTTTAGTTTTCATTTTCTCTAAAACTTTGTTGTTGCTGACATGTTCAGGCTATGATATTCTGAGAGAGTGGGAGGAGGAGAGAGAGTGAGAGAGAGAATAAGGACACTTTTTATTTTTACTTTATTTTTTTTTTTTTTTTTTTTGAGGAGTAATTTTCTTTACAGGTTCAAACACTTCTTTGAATCAATTACATGTTGTGCACTATCTCAAATAGATTGAGATTTTCATTCCCAGGACAACAATAAAATATTGTCATCAAATGTCTACAATCCCACCTCCACCCACAAGAGAGTTTTTTTTCTTAACCGAAATAATTAACAGTAAATGTGAAACTTTTAGGCAAGTCATTAACAGGCTGACTACTGTGATTTTGGCCTCTTGCTATTTATTTTGTCTAACAAATAAAATTTTTGTCACAAATGCTGGATGAGGTGCTATGTAAAGTCTAGTGGTTGAAGAAATAAGGCATGGTTTCAATTACGCTAGCCTGATACTTCACATGACAATTGCGAATGTAATGAATACATCTGCACATGACATTAATAGCTTTAACAATCTTTTTCTAATTTTTAATGCATTTGCAAAGCATTTACATAAAATAGCCCTCGTCTGTCACTAATGTTGATATTAATTCCTGATCAATGACAATCCCTGTCTCTCTGATTTCCAATATAGTCCTATAGAAAAATCATTAGCAATTAGTACTTGCTTGATTTTTGCATCTCCAATTTGTAATTTGCATGTTGGACTCTTCTTTTTGCTGACAACCATACATTTATCTTCTTACAATTGATGTTTAGTCCTTTCTTCTTGCTTTCCTTAACTACCTTCTGTCCTTTCTGTCTGACTTGTGTTAGTTCAGAATAGAGAATGACTTCTTTATCGAGTCATCAGTTGTAGAGAACCACAAAGCACACAAACATTGACACACAATGTCTCCAAAGTGTCTACTTTTAGAAAATGCATGTCTACAAACTTGCCAGCTAAATTTCCTCTCTGTAATTAAGAGTATCAATTTGTGCATCTATCTGTGCCCTTCCCATTGGCAAGAACCAATAAAAGTGACAACTAAAAAGAAGGGGATACAAAATATTCTTTAGTATGGATAACAGAATAAGCCGTGGATTCAGTTCAAAATTCTAAAGATTACAAAATATCAGTCACCTGAACAAAGCTAGGTGTTATAAACAACCAAGACGAGGATACCAGTTTGAGTAAATCAGTATCTAATTCACCATCCCCAAAATAGAAAATGATATGTCTAGAGAAAAAGCAGGGTGTGGTTCAGCTTCCCTACTCCTCTGTTGTTTTCTACACTGTATTTACCCACTGAGGATGGGGACTGTCTTGCAACAAAACACCTGGTCAATTTTCTTTGCCCGGGGAAAAGGTTTTATCTTCCAATACCTCATTTAAGTAAGTGGTTTGCTCACCATATCAGTGAACAATAAGACTTGCACATTACAGTAATGTGTAATAAGGAATCATTTTTAAATCTCAAAGGCAGAATTTTTGCCTTCATTTTGGATGAAATATTCAAAGCCTTCTTGAAGAAAAAAAAAAAAATTTTTTTAGATACTTGTAATTAATCTACTTTTGATCACAAGTGACAATCACATCTCCAAAAGCCCTTGAAAAGAAAAATAAGAGTATTTTAATGCTTACTGAAGTTCCTCTAAGTGGAAGCCATTTTCCAAAATCTTGTAAATTATATATAGGTGATAGATTAATTGAAAAAGCAATAAATATCTGAATTCATTAAGCTTTCTCTAACATTGTACAAAATGATGCTGAAACTTTTACCTGATTTTTTTATAATAAAAATATTATAAAAAACCTTATCCTGCAAGTAATTTAAATTAATTATAAAAAAAAAATTTTAGAACAGTAAACTTCAACTATAAAATTTACAAATGCCAGCCAGCATTCACACAACAAACCTGATTTTGGTGGTGGTTGTTTTTTTATGGATTATCAACCTCTATGAGTTATTTAATATCAAAATACAATTTTATTTGTTTAGACATAATGGTTTTAGTGATACAAGTTTTACTAATTAACCCATAGCTGGGGAGAGAAGTTGATTCATACCATTCCCAAGGGTATTTGCACATATGTGAATATAATGAACCCAACTAGAATTGAAACTCGGCTCTCTGATTAATAATTCTGAGACATTATCGATTATACCACCTGCATATCAAAGCTTACAGCACCTGGTATTCCCAAGCAGTCACTCACGTAGCTACTCACCAGACTCAATGTTGCTTAATTTTGGTGATCATATGGGAACCAGTGTTTCATTGTGATATGGTAGTAAGCCCTCTCACAAACCGAGATTTTCCAAACCTTTTAACATTTTTGCCTGAAATGTTTGTTTCCATGATGACTACACAAGCCACAAAATATATACAAGCACAAATTCCACACATTGGCAAGTGTGGATTACAAGTCAAACCATCTTGAATGAAGTAAACTTCTACATTTGTACCATTAATTATCAGTGCTTGGCAGTATTCAAGCTATGCTGTCAGTTTTAAATTTAAAAAGCTAGAAATAGAAAAAAAAAATAATCAACTGTTTTTAACATCAAGGTATCTAAATCCTCATGGCCACTATAGTATGATGATTTCTCAAGACATCAAAATGTATCTCAAAAGTAGCCTCAAGTGAAAAATAATTATTAAGTGATAATTTGAGACTAAAACAAATGAAAGAATCAGTTTTATGAATTACCTCCTTTTGACATAGTTAACTAAATCTAGAATAACCATCTGTCTTTTTCATCTGATTTTCATAACATCCAACATTTCTTTACAGGGGCATTAAATGAATGAGGTGTGCCATAAAAACTTCTTTATATTTGTCAAAAGATAATGAAGAAACCAAAACATTCTCAGTCAAAAGGAAATGATTTGAAGAAGGAAGAAGATTGTATTACTTGTGAATGGGTCTAAGTGCATACTACTTTAACAAATTATTAATCAGCCAACAACATTTAAGACAATGGAAACTTTCATAATGAAAAAAAAAGTAAATAAAAAGGCAACAAATAAAGGGAATTAATTATCTGCAAAGAGCCTGATTTCCTTCTTTACACACATCTATATTTTTCTTATATTTATGAACATGATATTGCCATTGGTATCAGTTTAAGAAGACATGATTTTCTATGTTCAACAGTCAGACTCTCATGTGGTAGCAAAGTCCAATGTGTAAGAGGAAGACAAAGCCACAGATATTGCGTGTCCTCAGCCTACTGTGAATTCAACAGTTAACCAGAGTTAACCTTCCTCATTATGTGTTCAAAGAATTTCAGCTATCTTTTCCTGATTTTTAGTATAAGTGTTCTTCCCATCACCATTTTCTTTAAAAAGTTCCTTGTTGCTTTCTCATTCTGTCCATGTATCCTTTTGTAAATCCACATTTCTGCTACCTCTAGTTATAAAACCTTAAAGAATTCATTCATTCATTTAGTTAGCACATTTTGCACCACTATGGTCACCAATTCAATTAAAACTATAGGTTTAAAAATACAACCCAACCATAATGTTAGCACTCCTTTAAGAAATCAACAAAAAGAAATAAACAAACACCAAAAAAGATTGTAACTACAAATCAATCAGTGAGAGTTTTAGCAGATAGTAATAAAAACAACCAAGCCTGACAAAATTAACCATTGTAGCCAGACAAAAAAAAACAAACCTTACAAGACTCCAAAAACTTGACATATAATAAACACTAGCAGTAGAGCCCGGCGTTGCCCGGGGATATAGCAGTAAGAGATAGATCAAGTATCCACCATCATAAAGACTGAAAAATAAAATTGACAATGTCCGATCCCATATTTAAAAGAAACCCACACACACAAACAACCGGATGTGAGTTGTCCCCCTTCCATTTTCACGATGTCTCTTAATCGTGTTTTCAAATGGATTTTGTGCAAAACAATTATATTTTTCCCCATTTTGGGCGCTGTTAGAACCACCACAAGGTAATTTTATGTAGTCCTGTGAAGTTTTGTTGAAATCGGTTGAAAAATGTAGGAAATCCGATCCAATATATAAATGTTACAGACACACACACAATCTGCGTTTTATAATAAGTAAGATTCCTACTTTCATCAAAGCAGAGAGCCCTTGATAAGGAAAAACAAACCCCGATAACACCTCCATTTCAAAACTATAAATGAGTAAAACATTTCTTGGATGAGTTATTCCAAATATCACCTGAGGATGAAACTGACAGCCAACAGTTAATGTTTAATATTAAACTTGAATATGTGTGACAAGTTTTTAAAACAGTAATTTCTGTGTTGTGATTTAAAAAAAAAAAAAAAAAAAATATATATATATATATATATATATATATATATATATATATATATATATAAGGACTAAAGGAAAACTTATCTTAGTCAATGATGCATTTAGTACTCTGAGAGACTATCAGAGGACAGAAACACATTGGCTAAAAGTCTTCCTTTTTGTCTTTATTCATAGCCCTTTTACAGATATACTCTATCTGAAATTTTTATACAGACACACTTTCATGTATGCATACTCTATATGCACCATATGTATTAACTCTCACACACTCACCAGAAAAAAAATTCGCTGTTAATAACTCATTTTGATCCCCCCCCACACACACACACACACACAAAAAAAAAAAAAAAAAAAAAATCAAATTGCCCCATATTGGGAACCACAAGAGACCAAAGCTCATGGCATTGTCAGAGATCTACAGCAACAATCTATTTGAATAGGAATGTAGAATGAAAAATATTTAAAAGCAGGCAGAGAAGGGATTGGTCTGTGTAAAATTAAGTGTCCAGTGGCTAACAGGGAGGAGGAGGCAGCGAAGAGGAAAGCAGAAGAGAGAGATTTCTTGATAGGAGGAAATTTATGCCAATTTGTCAAGAGGACAGATTTAATCCAACATAGATATTGCAACTGAATATCCAGCCTTCCTAGGTTCCCCAGGAGTGCAAAGCACAGAATGCCTATAAGCCTAAAAGGCTGCTGATGGTGACCAGAGAAAAAAGAACTGCGAAGTTGAGGTTTTTTTTTTGTTTTTGTTTTTTTTTTTTTACACACAATCATGTATAAAACCCAAGAACCACCCAATGAAGAGAGTTACAGGATAAGTACAGTTTATGGGAATATGTTGGGGAAGATAACAGTTAACCCTAGATTTGAACAGGTTAAGATTGTAGTTATCAAGGAAGCATCCTCTTGGGAGTCAATTCCAAAAAGCAGCTGTTCAAGATAGTAGTGCAGTAATAAAAAACACGTGTAAGATTAGGTAATGTGGGTATTTTAATTCTAGACCCCACCACAATCACGAACACACACAGTCTATTTGAATTAACCTGGAAACAAAGATCCTATTTCTTATTATTTTAAGAGTCATTTGGACTCATTTTTAATATTCTTCTGTGGTTCTTTTTCTGGTAGTGAAATCAGAAATGAACAATATGCTCAAATGAAAATTTTATTTAGTCTTTAGAGAAAAAGGAAAAAGGCTACTTTAACTTTTATGAGACATTTAAAAAAATGAAAGACCAATCAAGGTAGTGCTTGAAAAAAAAAAAAAAAAAAAAAAAAATCACATACTTTCAATTATAATACAGTTATTAGTGTGGTTCAACTAGTAAAAATAAAAATGAATGATGAAAGTAAGGCATATTGAAGAAAAAAAATTTTAAAATGCAGAAAAAAGAGAGATCTGAGATTGGGTGGGGGTGATCTTTTATTGTGATTAAATTATTTCTTTTTCAACAACTGAGACTTTTAATCATCTAAATCCTTCAAGTACCCAGTAATTTGTCAGCTACCTAAACATTCATTTGCTTAAGAAGTAAAAGCTTGAAAATAAATTTGAAATGAATTTATTTTGGTGCATAAAATTATTTTAGAAATCCCCCCCAATTATATCAGGTAGCAAATCTAATTGGAATAAAAATAGAAAAAAATATTGTAGTGATATCAGTGTCAGCTGATATCTTGTTAAATGGAAACATCTGAAAGATGTTACTGAAATTGTTTCAGAGAATTATTGCCTTGATGATTATCAGCTAAGTGAAGCAGACCTCAAGAAAACAATACCACATGACCCTGACAAGGAAGCTCACTGAGTAGAAGAACTTGTGTTAAGTTACTTTTTTCAACAAAGGTGACAAAGAACGATGTCCTGTATAAGACAGTGGTCACTAGTGACAGAAACAGAGAGACCCAGAGAAAGGCTCACCATGACCCGGAAAGGGAAAGCAGGCTGTTAGACTGTTCACCTCCCTGTCACCTCACTCCATCTCTGCCTTGCTCATCTACAGCAGACGATTACAATCAAATAAAATTTCCCTACTGCTATAATTATCTCATGGTTTTATTTCATGGGTGACAATCTGGCCAAAGAGTTATTTTTAAGCCACAAGCATTTGACTGTAAGAAGCTGCACCCTGTGAACGAAATTGGTGTCTGGTCTGAGCTGCAACACTACAATATTAACAAAACACATATCTGAAGGGTTGTGGGAAAATAATTTTTTTATATATATTTTTTATCTTTTTTTTTCTTTACTAATGTTCATGCAATGTTAGAATAAACCAGTGTTTCTCAACTGGTGTGCCCAGGTGCACTAATGTGCCCTGAAAGGTAGCCAGAGGTGCCCAACAGAAGACTAAATTATGAATTTTTTTTTTCTTTTAAAGATAGAGACAAGCACATTGCTTCTTTAAGTCTTTGTCATTTGATATTTTAAACTGAATGCTAAATGTCTTAAAGTATAGATAATCCTTTCTCTTTTGCCTTCCTAAAGAGATATGAATCGGTCATTTATCTTCATAAATTTAATTGCTGAGCTAATGAGAGTATATTTATCATATATAAGGCCTAACATTCAAAAAATGCAAAAGCAAATCAAGCTCAAGTTTTATAGATGTATGTGAAATGTACAATGTAATGTCTTCAAGATAAAGGCTTATTTCAGGAGGACTTCTTCATTATTTTTCTATTTTCAAATTTCATGACTAATTTTTCCTTATTAAAATTTAAAGTGCATCCCAGAGTTTTAGTCATTCTACAAGTGTGCCCTGAAATAAAAAAAATAAAAAAATTGAGAAACACTGGTATAAACAGTATGGATAAAAAGGAGAAAAAAAAAAAAAAAAAACTTATTAAACCCCAAGCATTCCTCTACTTGCAAACCTGTATTAATTTAACAGCTTTACCAATTAGGCTACACAAAAGTCACTGGATGTAATTCAAATTTAACCATAATATTCAGTGTTCTTTCCACCCCAAACACTTGATATA